GACCGCAAGAAGCAAAGAAAGATTGTTTTATGCTCGGAGAGCTATCGCTAGTGGTGCTGCGTTCAGCCCAACAGAGAGAAGGATGAGTGACATACGCCATCGGGACTATTGAACATGGTGGCGAACTAGAGGCAAAGGAAGTGTCTCGTGGGAGCATGGATTCCCTCAGATGACCTTCCTACTGAAGCCGCCAGAGAAAGAAGGAAGAAGAGGCACATCGGCTCCGGAGAGGTTGGAGGAAGCGGTCGTGAAGCACAGAGCGGGGAAAAAAACCTTGAAGCGAGAATGCGGGAGAAATCGGAAGGCAAGTGCAAATAGCGGTGAGTGCAAGCAAGCGTGCATCGAGCCGTGAATCGACATTAGCCAATCTGCTCGGTTGAAAAGCAACCGCGCTTCCACGAAGATACCAAATCAAGGGGACACAGGATCGCACTTCCACGTGGATGACGCCATCGAACCTTGTACAACGTGTGAGCTACACATTCAAGGGGAATTCCACAATCAAGGTGGCTATCGGTCTTGTTAATCCTATCGACCAACCAAGACACCAAGGATTCATGGGAATATAATCCAAGAAGGATATGCTACCATCTCGGTAGATAAAAGTGAAAAAGGTTTTAGTGATTTGCCTCTTGACATTCCTCGGAGGTGATGGCGAGATGACTCTAGGAGAAGCGGAGAAGACATTCATTCTATGGCGCAAGCGCTACATTATCATTCCGGGATGTCGGCTCCACCTCCTCCCTGAACTACCTCACCATAGGTACGCGTCTTGGATGAAAATACTACATCATTAATTTGTATTGGCTTAAATAATTAACAATCGCTCATAATAATATGTCATTCCTTTTTTGTAGCAGATCCTCCCCAACCTAAATCCAATTGTTCAATCGCCAGATCATCATAGTGCTCTGACGATGACATTGTGTTGGAAGGCGGTGCATCCACACCATCTCCAAGGAGGTCTCCAACGCCAGCAATGCCACCTCCAAGGAGGTCTCCAACGCCACGCCAACACCTCCAAGGAGGTCTCCAACGCCTCCCGCCCCGCCTAGCAAGAGGCCAGCCCTCAAACGAAGAACCGGTCCCTTTGAAAAAGCCAAGCCACCGTGAAACCAAGGGCTATTCCCAAAATAATATCTCAAGAGAAGGAAGAAGGAACTGATGCATATAAAAAGATATGTCTAGATTCTATGACAAACTTAAAAAGAATCAAGAAGCAAGGAGAAACCCGGAGAAACCATACTTCTTCAGTAGCTCCAGATATTCTAAGAAAAAGGGTGGCTTCTTACCAAAGAACAACAATGGAATCTCGTAAGTCATCCAAATCAACGTTATCGGACTATGACCGTACTCTCACCAAGTCAATTGAGGTGGCACAGAAAAAGAAGCGGGCGGGGAAAGGAGTTGCCTAACTCGGACAACAAGCGCACCAATCAGGTCCCCCGCTAGTTGTTGGTAATGAATATGGTTCAATTTAGGATTAATGCATCGAGCAAACATACCTCCGGATGTCGATTTGGATCACCTTGGTGAATTTATTGATGAGACCGGTCTCGACCTTTACCGGATGTTTGGTGATGGAAACATTGAGAGTGCGGTGAGGTTGATATTTGGAAGAAAAATTGTACTAGGCCGTAGTCTATACAACCCTCAAGCCTTATCTCGATCTGGGGACACAAATGTACCGCTAAACAAGTGGTACATGCAAAGGCTCTACCGGTGGAGACTTCTGCGTTGGTGTCGAATTAGAGACGAACATTGGTTCCGTGGCGATGATGTTATGTATGTTGACTTTGCGTAATTTCATCAACTATGCCACCGACCTCTCTGGGACAAAGTTATCATTAGTCGCTATTGCCTGTAAGTAATAATTCTTTCGATCTATTATTAAACTCATCATATGTGTGTATATGCATATAAATTATCCTAACAAGTACTATATATATGTAGATTTACAATGACAGAGCTTAGAAAGGAAGGCTGCAATGAAATTGGTTTTGTTGATCCCTATATAATATTCAAAGACCCAATTACTCCAAAGACTAATTGGAAGTCTGAGTCAGAGAGTAACCTCATGAACTTCTTAGTGAACCAACGCCACAAGAAGGATATACTCTTTCCCTATAACTTCAAGTGAGTGTTAATAATATTGATCATCCTTAATGGCTCATATGTTGATTCTAGTTAATTAATGAATGTTATGCGTTATATCCTATAAACACATGCAACAATCACTGGATATTGATGGACATCGATCTGGTGAAAAGTCACTTGATAATCTATGACTCGATGAGAAAACCACAACAAGGCTACCAAGATATGATAGATATTATCCAGAGGTAATTTCGGGATCTCTAGCAACTATATATACACACAAACATGATGATTAACTATATCTTGATGACGTGGCAAATTTTATTGGGCAGTGTTTGGAAAACCTTTATTGAGAAGCAACACATGGAAAAATGCAAAGCGCCATTGAATGTAATCCCTTTGAAAGTAAGTCCCCTGAATCGCATCATCTTTATTAATTAAACATATAGCTTTCACCGGATCATCAGATTGGATGACAAATCTTTTTCTCGTAAAGTGGTGTCTGAGGCAGGAACAGGGGAACAACTACTGTGGTTACTATGTTTGCAAGTTTATCAAGGTGGTCTCCCAAAGAACTTCTACAGAGAGACTCAAAGTACGTTAAAAATACACTATATATTCATTTAATTATTATTATTGATTGTGTTACTATGTCTTTATATATATATGTACATATATTAATTTATTTTCCTTTAATTCAAACCTGTAGACTCGATGGTTGGAGAAAAAGGTCATACGGCAAGACCAAATCAAAGCAATTCAAGAGTCTATAGCCGGATTTTTTAATGAGCAGGTCATCGATTCCAAGGGCGAGTTCTACTTCGACCCAACACTGCCATGGAAGCCAAGCTAGAGGATGAGAGAAAACTTGTTATATCACAACAACTGTAATGCAATCTTTTTATAATATATGCACATGAAATAATATAATGCAAAATACACATATGCATGCATGCATGTAAATATATATATGATGCATGCATATATATATATATATTTTCTATGCTTGAATTGTGTGATTTAATACGTTCATTGTGCTTGAACCGAAACATACTATACGCGCGTATAAATGTATAATTAGCTGCGTACAATACGACTTCGAAAACAAAAAAATGAAAAGAAAAAAACCTTTAGTCCCGGTTCGTATTACCAACCGGGACTAAAGGTGCCGGCCATCGTGGCATGTCAGGAGGCACCTTTAGTCCCGGTTAGTGTTACCCACCGGGACTAAAGGTCCTCCTTTAGTCCCGGTTCCTGACCCGGGACTAAAGGACCCCTTTAGTCCCGGATGCTTGCTCCTGGGTGGGGAACCGGGACTAGAGGAGGTTCCCCACCGGGAGTAAAGCTCGGTTCTCTACCAGTGCCCGGATTCCAATAGCGTGTGCTGGTCTTTATCAAAAGGAAAAGAAAAATCTCCGTGGGTAGAGCATGGTTGTTTGAATGTGACGTTTGAGTGAATGTCACTGCGTGACTGCCAAGTGCCAACAATTGTCATGAACTTCGTCACACTCACGACGTCATGGCATCCATGTTCTTGTGAATATATGTAACGTTATCTGTTACCCGGAGGGGAATGGTGGAAAGCGATACTTGTGTTTGGTCACGCTCAGGCCGCAATCAGATGCGGCGTAATCAGATACGGCCGTATTCACCACTGATTCCGCGCCTTCCTGAGATGCATCGCATACCGGCTCGCTCCCAGTGCTGCACAATTACGTTACCATGCCAAACCAACACAAAGAAAGTTATCGGTCCCAGTGCTTTGTGCTCACGCACACACGAGGTTGTGTTTTCCCCACTTCCTGTAACCCAACCAGGTTCTGTAAGGATATCCGTTATATTATTTATGGCAGTTGTGAACAAAAAGTGAGTTGAACAATTCTCAAAACAAATCTTGCTACATGACAATTAGAAAAAAAAGTGTGTTGGATGATTTGTTGTTCTTCTTGTTGTTGTTGTAAAAGCAACATTTATCGTCGCACCTCTAGTTTTATTTTAGAAGATCATTTTTGTTAAAATGGCCCATTTTATCAAGAACCAAACAACGATCTTAATCTTTAGAGGAAAATTTATTAACTCATACGCAAAGATTTATTTGAAGGCAGAGATGTTTGGTTTACTAGTTGCTTGTACATCGCCCATGCTTTGCCAAAGTTGCATTGATGCATCTTTTAGTTTATGAAACTAGTTTATAAAACTATGATACTATAAAGAGATATATAAAATTGTGAACAATGTATCTTGATGAGTTCTACAACTTTTAAGTTGATGACTTTTTTCAGCTGAAGTCATTTGCTCTTTTAAAACGTTATTTTGAGTTGACATTTTTTTGAAATTTAAATTTTAGCTGTCAAAACCGTTGCTACGAATCGTCCGGAGCTGTCGGAGATGATGGGTGGCGCAGTGAATTTTGCCCGTCTTCTACGAATGATGGTGTGTGGACACAAACGTTGAAAACAGTTCAAAACAAGGCGAAGGCGACGTGTGAACGCTCCCAAGAACAGAGGTAGAATTTTTTAAGACCAAAGAATGAAACGAAATGCGACGTGGGGGGTTTGACTGGTTGGACCTTGCTGGTTGCCGCGAGGCGAGGCGAGACTCACCCGCCTGACATGTGGGGCACCCTAACGGTACCCGCGAACGAAACAAACGACCGCCTCCCAAACAAAACGACAAAAAAGCAATGAAAAAATAAAAAAAAGAAAAACGGATCCACACCCCCGACCCAGAATGGAGGTCGTCGTCGTGGCCGCGGCCGTCGCCGTCGCCGTCCACCCGCCCTCGCGGCCCCGCCTCCAATGCCATTAACCCTACGCGCACGGCGGCTAGGGTTTCGCCCCCTCCTCCTTCCCCCTTCCCCCTTCCCCCTTCCCCCTCCCCACCTCCACCGCCGGGCCCTGACGATGCCGTCCTGGTGGAAGCGCTCCAAGTCGGCGTTCCACCGCTCGTCCGTCACCTCCGCCTCCACGCCGTCGTCCCCCGCGCGGGCGTCCACCTCGCGCGTCCAGCCCGGACCCGGAGGCCGCGCGGGGAGGCGGGGGGACCTCCTCGCGCCGCCCAAGCTCACGCGCCAGCGGAAGCTGCGCCACGTCGATGTGGACTACGTCGACGTCGAGCTTGGGGACCTCGGCATCGACGATGTCTCCGACAGGTCATCCTCCTCCTCCCCGCCGCAGCAGAGGGGCCGCTCCTCGGCCTCCGAGGCCATTGGGATCCCGGTCGGCACCCCCATCTCCAGGTCCGCCAGCGCCAGGGAGGGTGGGGCGCAACCGCCCCGGTCCGCGTCCTCGCCCATCCTGCACCCGCTGCCGCTGCCCTCGCCCAGGCCGCCGGACCCGCTCGGGGCCGCCGATGGGTGGGGCGACAGGACGACGCTCGCGCCCAGGTGCGGTGTTCCCCCATTTTTCTTCTTTCGCCCAATTTCATCTTAATTCAATTCAATCGCATGGATGTCTGGATGTGTAGCATGACTCGATTTGATTGCCCCTAGATTCTACTCACTTGCGTAGGGGAAGTGCTACACTTGCAATCAATTTGCAATTGGCACTGTAGTATGATTCCGTAGTTCCAACAATCGGTTGAGATGTTACTTTCAGCTAGTAGTTGAAAGGCGTTTATGATTATTCGGGGATCCTTAGCATTTATTGAGATGTGGAAATGTAGGAACAAAGGGGATTGGGACTGTCTCTGTACTAGAATGTTTGTTTCAACTGAATTTTCGAGCAGTTGACTTGCTCCTGTTCGCTTGAACTTATCAGCCGGCTTATCAGCTAGAATCTACAGTATTTTTTTCTCACAAAAAATCAGCTTCAGCCGGCTTATCAGCCGGCTTTAATACCAGCCGAACAGTGCTATTGCCCTACAGTTCACCTGTTCTGGACAGAAGTCAACGAAAAAGGGGCAAAGTCCTATCACGTTTCGTACCCTACATAAATTGGGCATGGTTTTCATGGTGATATGGACATGTAGGATATGTTAGGTGGTTTGAGTTTATTATGGGACCTTTTCATCATTCATGACCTTTTAATTTTTATGGTACAAGTGCATTATGCACTAGATTATCTGTCATTATGGATTCATGGTGAATCATAGAATCAAGAAAGGTTTATCTTGGAACGTGCAATGTATTTTTTTACATGGAAATGACAAGACGGATATGTGACCATAAGGGTGACGAGCCGGATTGTGCAAACTGGAATTGTAAGAAAAAAGGAGGCTGACAGATCCATCATCATTCACTTGAGCCAAAACTTCTGTTTGTGTTTTTTTTGTGCTACTGACTAATGACCATTTATGGTGGTGTTTGGTTTTCTATAATTTAATTTAGCTCACCGGTGCATAGAGACACTTGATTGAGGAAAACTGGAGTTGCATCACCTGATCACCCTTTTGTTGACTAGTCCTTTTCCTTTTCATTATAATCTGCACTTCTTTTACTCAAAATGGATAATTTTTTAATATAATTGAACCCATCTAAAGCTATTTTTCCATTGCTTTTGAGCTATTTCCTGATCCTTAAATGTTTTGTGGCTATAGGGTGATAAGCCAGATTGCACAGAAGTTTCCTGAGCACAATGAATTATTACCAAATGGAACAAAACGGGCTACCTTTAGTCACCACAGGAATGCATTCCGTGAGAAGTTCCAGGATAAGAGTTCACCAGAAATTATGAACTTTCAGTTGAACATTCCTGCTAAAAGTGCTCCGAGCAGTGGTTTTTCAAGTCCTGTGTGCAGCCCTCGAAGATTTAGCAATGCTGACTTCTCATCTACTATGGCACCTGCTCAAGGACCCCTTGTGTGGTCCGCTCCATCTATCCAATCAACAGATTTTATGGGAGTTTCATTCTCTCCTGAAAAATATGCAGGGGTTCCAGACCGATCTTCTTTCTCTAGTGCATTAAGAAGTCCTATTCTTATGCCAAGGAATACCAGTGCCCCTCCATCACCTATGCACTCTAAATTGTACCCAGATAACAATATTTCACGCATTGAAGGAAATGGGAGTGTCAGCTTTCACCCATTACCGCTCCCTCCTGGTGCTTCAAGTCCAATGCAAACAGGTTTTACCACTCAATCTGCTCCAAAAGTTGAAATGCCCTCAGTGGCTGGTCAGTGGCAAAAAGGAAAACTTCTAGGTAGCGGCACATTTGGTTGTGTGTATGAAGCTACCAATAGGTATGGGAGTGTATTTGGTATATCATTGATACTAGCACGTCATTATGAATTCTGAAGATTGTTTTGCATCCATTTATTTGCAGGCACACAGGAGCTCTCTGTGCAATGAAAGAAGTCAACATAATTCCTGATGATGCTAAATCTGCTGAGTCCTTGAAGCAATTAGAGCAGGTTGTTAAATTTGACAGTATATCTTACAGAATACACATGCTTTTTGTTTCCAGGAATGAGCAATATTTAATGTTTTATAGGTGCTTCGTTCCCTATCTGAATAATTTTCTTCTTTACTTTTTTTGTTGAGCGTTTTTCTTTGTGCCAAGACTTCTGGCTGCTTGACTATATTGCATATTTTAAATATTACCTGCAGCATTCGTATGACATATCTGGATAACTTTTTTTTGATGGGATAAGTCTCTGTTGGCAGTCTTTGTGGGGCTGGCTGCAACTGGTCTTTGTGGGGCTGGCTGCAGCAGCATCTTGACTGAGAGAACAACATCTTAGCTAGGATAGCATCTTAGGACAGCATATTAGCATCTTAGACTAGCATCTTGGCATATGCTTGGCTGGCTAGCAGCCTATAAATATGTATCCCCAACCTCTCAGGTTGGCATGGCATTTGGATGAGTTTGTGTGAGAAATAAACCAGAAAATTGCCCTAACTCCTAGTGTCATCCTCTCTCGATGAGAGTAAAAATTCTGCTACTATCAAGAGTGAGAATTCAGCGACTAACAAGTGGTATCAGAGCCGTATTATCCTGTAGCCTGAGCATCTCCTGCTCATCTTCTTTCCCAGCCACGCAATGACCCAGTGGGAGCAAAGAATATCTCCGGCCGCTCTCCTCACTCTCTCTCTCTGCTGCAGACAAGCGGCACTGTCGTGCAAGCAGCCCTCTCCACGCAGCAGCCCCCCAGAGGCGCGTCATGTCCGCATGAGGCGATCTCGGCCTTCGGTCGCCTCGAGCACCTGTGGCGTCGTCGAGAGGCCGAACTTGCTTGCAGCAGCAGAACGCGAAGAAGCGGCGGCGAGACCGGCGCGACGGCAGCGCGTCGGCGGCGAGGCGGCATGCGGGCGCTGGCAAAGCAGGCGGGCGAGGGCGGCGCAAAGCAAGCGGCGATGATGCAGCGTCGCGGCGGCGGCGGAGAGGTCGAGGTTTGCGGCGGCAAAGATCGCAGCCTCCGTTCTGCTGCACGACACCGCCGACGCGACCTCGAGCTGCTGGAGAGGGAGGCGGCGGCGCGCGGCGACGAGATGGCGCGCCACGCGCACCCACCACGCGCGGCGGCAGAACAGACGCGCGCGCGACGCGCCGGCGGTGCTCCTGGAGGAGGCGCGCACGTCGGCGGCACTCTGGAGAAGAATGCGCCTGGCGGTGGCGCTCTGGGAGGCGCGCATGGTGGTGGCGCTCTGGAGGAGGCGCGCCGCGACGACGGTGGCGCGGACGGTCGATGGAGAGCGCGCCTTCCTTCACGCAGCGGCGTGGCTCTCCCGGATCGGTACCGACGGGTCGATGGAGAGCGCGGCCTTCACAAGCGGCGTGACTCTCTCCCCGGATCGGTGCCGTGGTTACTACGGGCTCAGTACGTTGTCGGGGACGTCGGTCCCGGCGGTGGGTGGCCTACCTCACCAAGACCAACTACGTCCGAGTGGGCTGCGGTGATGAGGGTAAAGCTCAGTGCGGCACATGTTGGAGGCAGTCCGGTAGGGCGACGTCGACTACGACCTAGATCGACGGGCGCTGGATGCCCTCATCACTGCAGTCCCGCCCGAGATGCAATTCTCGCTTACCAACAAGCAGACTGCCAAGGAGGCTTGGGACACCATCATTGCCTGCAGCACGCATCGGCAATGACCGCCCGCCAAGTCCACACTGCGCAGCGCCTTCGCAGTAGTGGGAGAACACGCCTTCAAGCCGGTGAGGACGTTGATGACTTTGCTCTCCGTCTCAACACTATGTTGCAGAAGATGGTGTAGTTCGGCGATGACACCTACGGCGAGGAGAGAGCTGTCGAAAAGCTCTTCCGCTGCGTCCCCGAGAAGTACAAGCAGATGGCTCGCTCGATCGAGTCTCTGTTGGATCTCTCCACGAGTCGATCGAGGAGGCGATAGGTCGCCTCAAGGTCGTCGGCGGCAATGATGAGCCACGATCTCTCTCGGGGCCCATCACCACCGGCGGAAGCTCCTTCTCACTCGGGGCGGTGGCTTGCCGATAAAGGTGACCGGAAGAAGGGGAGCCTTCTTCCGGTGATGAAGGCGACCGCATAGCGTGGCAAAATGCGCAAAGCGCCGCAGAGCTTTCAGTCGGGGTGTGCGAGGACGTCTTGAGGTGATGCCCGCCGAGGCGCCTAGGGCGGCGCCACCACGGCAGCACAAGCCGACGACGAGACGGCGCTTTCAATAGCTGCGCGCCGCCTTGGCCATTGGGCCAAGGATCGCTGATGTAACCATGACGCGACCAGGCCCACGTCGCACAGGCGGAGGAGCCGGCTCTGTTCATGGCACATGCAAGCATCGAGCTACCTCCAGCGGCACCGGCCGCAGCGGCTCTCCTCCACCTTGATGAGCCAAAAGCACACGTCCTCCTCGGCGACAGCTCCGGTAATGACAAGACTGACGGGTAGAGCCTCGACACCGGCGCCACCCATCACATGACCGGTCGACGGGAGTTCTTCACCGAGCTTGACTCTAGCGTCCGAGGCTCCGTCAAGTTTGGGGATGCCTCCGGCGTGGAGATCAAGGGCGTAGGCTCCGTCATCTTCACCGCCGTGTCTGGTGAGCATAGGCTGCTCACCGGAGTCTACTATATCCCCGCGTTGAGGAACTCTATCATCAGCTTGGGACAGCTGGATAAGAACGGTTCGCGCGTGGTGGTTGAGGATGTAGTCATGAGGATTTGGGATCGCCGTCGTCGCCTTCTTGCCAAGGTAACCAGAAGCGCAAATCGACTCTACGTCCTCAACGTGCAGGTGGCACAACCCCTCTGTCTCGCTGCTCGTCGGGACGACGAGGCGTGGCAGTGGCATGAGCGTTTCGGGCACCTTCACTTCGAGGCCCGGAAGCGGCTCAGTGCCACAGAGATGGTGCGAGGCCTGCCGTGCCTCGACCATGTGGAGCAGCTCTGCGACGTCTGCGTGTTGAGGAAGCAGAGGCGACTCCCCTTTCCCCAGCGGGCAAGCTTTCGAGCCAAGGAGAGGCTCGAGCTTGTGCACGGGGACTTGTGTGGCCCGGTGACACCGGCCACACCGGGAGGACGACGCTACTTCCTGCTGCTCGTCGATGACCTCTCCCGCTACACGTGGGTGATGGTCCTCGGCAGCAAGGGAGAGGCTGCGGACGCCATCAGGCGCGCGCAGGCTGCTGCTGCGGAGGAGTGCGGCCGCAAGCTGCGCACCGACAACGGCGGCGAATTCACAGCGGCTGAATTCGCGTCGTACTGCACTGATAAGGGCATTCAGCGCTGTCAATGGGGAACCCTACGGGCCCCCCATAGACCATACTGCAGGGAGGTAGGCCTTGGTAACAAGGCCTACAACCCAATCGCCAAGAAGAACGCGGAGCAAAGCAACGTGCAAAACCGAAACTCCAACTCAAACTATACAAGGAAAGGCGCCAGAAGCGTAGCTTAGGACTCTGACCTTGTATCCGAATAGGACACAAACAACGCCTCTCAGCGCCTGGACTATAAAGGGCTGGTGAGGGTACCCATTGTAAGAAGAGAACGATACCCGATACTCAAAGCAATACAACGCAAACAAAGCTAACGCCAAAAAGCGGACGTAAGGTTATTACTCGACCAAGTCGAGGGCTCGAACCAAAGATAAATTGTGAGTCTCTTTGCATAACCATTGATTCCGCTATTCGGCCCAAGCTTCAACAATCGTCCCGGTACCCCCATGGCGAAGCTATCGGTGGTAAAACATCGACAACGGCGCACTGTGTAGGGGCTTTTCGGCGAATTTTTTCTCGAGAGTTCGGCGGACCTCAACCTCAAGATGACCTTTTTCAAGGGAACAACCTTTGTCTTCGGATCCTGGATCTGCAAGGTCGACGGCGGCGACGCAAGCTTCGTGATCCGTCTCTCCGAGAAGAAAAAGAATTCGATGACGAAGTTCAATACAAACTCACCGAGAAGATGACGAAACTCTCAACTTCGGATACAACTCGGAATAAGGAAGAAAGCGGATACTGAAACCGACTCGAAAAGAGAGACAACCCGATTCCAAGACAATCTTCACGGCACAAGAGCCAAGCCTAATTGGACTCGGAGACACAACAACGATCGCGAAGGGATACGACCCTGTACAACTCAAAGAAGAACTTGGGAACTTACTTGACCAAGCAACTCGGCATCGATCCTATCAACACTTTACCCAAAACAAGATGAACTCAAAAAGAAGAATACTCCGGAGGGAGCACCGAAGGATGATCATGACAAGTTACCCCACAAAGATTGTGTGGTGCATTGGCGAGTTTTTTCACCTCAAGCAAAGCCCAGACCGCACGCTGCGCGTTGAAGAACTACCTTATCAAGAAGGAAAAGAACTCGGATCCAAATTTCGGAAGCTACGAACGGCTCAACCAAATGAAGGATGGAATACCGTACAAGAAGAGCTCGGAAGAGGTATCTGTATACATGGCGGCAAGCGAATTAGAACAACCTTTGGAACCACCACGATACGGATATAAAATCTTGAGATTTAATCGAGGGCAACATCTCGCCAGATAAGAAAAGCGACAGCAACGAAAATGATGAGCAAAGACTAGCAAGGCTAAAGAAGAATAAATTGAAAGCTGAAAGGAGGAACAGGGCTAAACAAAGGAAGCAAGTCTGGAATAAATACAAAGCGGAGCTAACGGAATACAACAGAAAGAAGGCGGAAAAAGAAGCCACAAAAAATACAAAAAGGGAAAGAATTGAAGAATTAACAAATGAGTTGTATACCCTCACGAATAACGGGAAAGCAAAGGAAGACCAGAGGAAAGAAGTCGGGGGATCAGAAACACAACCCGGCGAAGAAGTTCCACAGGAGCCACAAAGGGAGCAGCCACCGAAAAAA